CAGCGTCTTTCTCTTTCCAGGAAAAATATTTCCACGTTTTCAGATTGATATTGTGTCTCATATAGAGTGCTGATGTGTGGTTATGTGTTAAGCCTAATTTATGGTTTGCTTTGTTCTATTTTATGGGAGGGGAGGTGTTATAGTTTGGGTTCCTGTTGACATTTTTTTCCCCTCTGAATGTTTCTACTGCATTTGATATGATGCATCAAATCCTCTAGGGCCTTGTGTCTCTAATGCTGATCCTTATCTTGTTGGAATTATGTATAACCATCTCTGTCTCAGCCATGTGGTGCAAAGCAAACTGATGTAGTTCAAGAGAGGTAGGTTTGTTTAAATGATTAATAATTCCCATAGTCTGCCACCCTCCCTCTAGGGCTTGAGGTCATTTCTGACTCTTAAAGTTGAAAAGAAACTTCTATGCAGTAGTGATTTGTGGGGTTCCTGGAGTTCCTGATGGTATGAATATTAGAGATAGAATGAAAACTAGAAAAGATTCCAATGTAAAAATGCAAGAGGAAACAGTGTATTTCATATCTAAGCACACACATTTTTTTTGTTCAGATAGAATTAAATTTTTATTTTTTTAGCATCACTTTTTAGTTATAAACCAAGGAAAAATCACCAATTCCTTTTAGATTTTTGGTATTTTAACTGAAAAAATTAAAACATTTTCATTCATTTCTGATGTTTGTTGAAAAGACTGTGCAATAATAATTTAGCAGAGTAATAATCAGTGAACGAATTTTATCAGTGATTATCATGATGATAATTGGAAGGAAAGGGAGGCAGGTGATGATCCTATTCCTGGAGATTGATGATGTTTTATTTTTCAGGCAATTTCCTTACCTTCCAATTCTGTGGAATTATGAGCGCATCCTTATTAAAGTAAATCTGAGCACAAGGAAATTCAACCTCACATCTCAATGAATTAGAGTTCCATCCAAGAGACAAGAGAACATGGCCTATGAAATCCAACCATCAGAAACTTGGACATTTGACTCAATCTTTTCTGTGTTAACTATAAATGCCATTTATATGTCTTGATACAGAGTGACAAATATGCCTCTTTAGGCAAACTTGGCTTTGTAACTTCTATGATCACCACTTCAAAGTTGTCCAGTCGAGCACTGGAAAAAAGTCATGTGGTCCGATGAATTACATTTTCAGTTGCATCATGCAGATGGCAGAGTGAGAATTTCACGGAAACAGCATGAAAGCATGCACCCACATGCATGAGTACAACCCTTCAAGTCGGTGGGGCAGTGTTATGGTTTGGGGCATGTTTTCCTGGTATGATTTGGACCTTTTAATTCATGTGGAACAATGTCTGAATAGCACAACATATCTAAGTATCATTACTAATCAAATTCATCCTATCATGTTGAGGGTGTATCCCAATGGAGATGGCTTCTTCCAACAAAACAATGCAATAGGCCACGCTGCTCGTATTGTGCAGGAGTGATTTCAAGAATATGAGTAAGACTTTACCTTGCTTAGGCGGTCCCTACAATCACCAGAACTCAATCCAATTGAGCATTTGTGGGATGAAGTTAAAAGAGCCATCAGGCAGCTGGTTCCACAACCATCAATTCTCACAGAATTGGATAGTGCTATTCATCAAACATGGTGTCAGATTCCTCACATTAGTTTTCAACATCTTGTGGAGTTAATGCCAAGAAGAATCACCGCAGTATTGAAGGCAAAAGGTGGTCCAACGAAGTACTGATCAGGTAAGTAGTCATAATAATCTGGACACTCAGTATATATAAAATTTGTTTTTTATACATTCAACAATCATTTAGGGCAGTGGTTCTCAACCTTCCTAATGCCACGACCCTTTAATACAGTTCCTCATGTTGTGGTGACCGCCAACCATAAAATTATAAAATTGGTACTTCATAACTGTAATTTTGCTACTGTTATGAATCATAATATAAATATCTGTGTTTTCCGATGGTCTTAGGCGACCCCTGACAGCGGTTCTCAACCTGTGGGTCATGACCTCTTTCACAGGGGTCGCTTAAGACCATTGGAAAACACAGATATTTATATTATGATTCATAACAGTTATGAAGTAGCAACGAAAATAGTTTTATGGTTGGGGGGTCACCACAACATGAGGAACTCTATTAAAGGGTCACGGCATTAGGAAGTTGAGAACCACTGATACAGGGAATGCCTACTATGTGCCATGTGTTGTGTTAGGAGTTTGGCACATAACAGAGTGATATTAAATACCGGGGTAGTTTGCATAAATCTTTCTCTTTGCATTTCTGAGATCATATAAATGAAGAGACAAAGGTATTCTCTTCAAGTTTGGACTCAGTGCTAGCCTTTTTAGACTACTTCTCTTGTTCTATGAACAATATTTTGTCAATTCTGTGGAACATTAGGAGGTTGATATCAGTCTCAGACTCTCTCTTAACTTTGGCATCTTAACAATATTTATGGAACCCATTCTTGGCACACTTTCAATGTGTAACATGCAATTCATGCATATTTATTTTAAATAATTTGAACATTCAGCTTGAGAAAACAATTCTTCAGATGTAATTTGAAAGCAAATTTCTTTTGAGTTTAGGGAAATAAATCTAGTGTGTAAGTGAGAAAAGAACCATTGCTTGTCAAAGAGGAAACCAGATGGAGAGCGGATAAAAAGCATGTGCTAATGCGTTGTCAGAAGGAGGAAATTATGTGGTGGGGAAGAAATGTTAGCTCAATTATCTCTTCCTTTCAGGCAGCCATGTGATCAAAATTCATCTTGATAAATTTGCCCTGACCAAAAAACAAAAACGATTTTATCTTATGTTCCAATGTTCACTATTGGGAAAGATGACAGAGCATGGGCAAAAGGACCCATAGTGTGTGTGCAGAAGATTATACACATCTCAGAAAGTGTAGGAAAAAGATGCTGGTGGGAATTGGTATATGAAGTAATTTGGAGGTTTGTATTTTTCAAGGTTTTATTGAAATTTCTTACAAAATAGCATCATGTTCAGACACTGAAGACCATCCTCTGTCTGTTTCCTGTCTAAATCTCAAGTCTAATTTCTGATTATTTGCTGCACACATAATGAACTATTATATATCCCCAGAAAATACCATAAACAGGCATTTCTTCAGGTCTTTTCCAGCAGAGGTGGTTTAATTTCACTGAGGGAGAGGAAAGGAATCTCTTGAGGCTATGATTAGCAGCCTCTGATGTATTATATCGTTAATATCATATTTGTCCGTTCTACTCTGCTGTGAGATGGACAAGGAACAGGGACCACGGTACTCATCTCTGCATGCTCAGTGATACCAGCAGTAGTTGACATGCTTCAATAAGTCCTTTTTAGATGAGTGTATAATTGAATGATGTTTATTTCTTAACTAGAGGCCTGGTGCATGTGACCCTGGGGGGCGGTCCCTCAGCCCAGCCTGTCCCTTCTTACAGTCTGGGAGCTCTCAGGGGCAGGAGGTGAACTAGCAATCAAGGGAAAGTGATGCCCTCATCACACCTCTGCTTCTGCCACTGCTGGTAGCACAAGCCTCAGCCAGCCCTGGTTACCTGCACCTTGGGCCGGCCCTGAGTGGTTGGGCAGCTGCCATCCCAGTCTTGCCTGCACCTCGGTTAGCCCTGCTTGCCTAGGCCTCAGTCAGGGGAGGGGTGCAGGAGGACCCAAGGCCCCCCAGCGGGGCTGATGGGACTCTAGTGGCAGGTGTGGATGCTGGCATCTTGTGATGGTCAATTTGCATATTACCTATTTATTTAAAAAATTTCTTTATTGATTAAGTTATTACATATGTCCTCATCTCCCCCTTTTTACAACATAGGATTATAATAACACATTGCTCAAGTCCACCAATTCCTGAAGACACAGTAGGAAGATGGCACATGAGTTAATAAATTTTGTTATGAAAGGCATGCTAATACATATATCTTCTAGTGTCCTCTGTTCATATAATTATCTTAGTTTCCTGGATAATGTGGATTTTATCATACCTCAGAGAAACAATCCAGATGATTAGAGGTACAATTTGTAGTATCTTACAGTTTACTGATGAGGCATTCAAGGTTATGTCTATAATAAAACTGAAATGAAAGTGTCCTAAGTCTGTGAATCTCACCTGTATATTTGGTTTGTTATGGTCTAGCTAGTTATGAAATTAGAACAAACACATTTGTTTACTGGTAGCTCTAACCCTAATTGTGACATACTGCTCAGTCCAATGCTGCTGAGACCTACTCATAGGATTTGCCATCAAGTCCATGCCCCTCAGTGTCTCTGCTATCCCATCCTGGTCATTACAAAAATCAAAGCAGCAGACCATTAATTTAATACTTTAGAGGACAATGGAGTCTTTAGTGTGAAATCGTCTTAGCTTTCACAGTCTGTCAGGAATGGTGCACAGCAGTTCAAACTCTGCCTATTTATTTTCTGAGGCCATCTGTGGCAGAGCCAGATACATTGTGTCCAAAAGAGAGAAAGAGAGAGAAATACAATAAATATTGAAGTCGGAGATGAATCCAGAGATTCAGAGGCTAAGACATACTCCTATTCGTGAATCTAAGTATGATTTGAAGAGGGATGATAGGCTTTTCAAAGGTACCATGGGCGAGCTTCTGCTATAGAAATGGCTGAACTGGAACGCAAGTAGAGAAGGACAGCTCTCTCTATTCTGTAGTTTTTTTCTCACCTTCCCAGTCAGCATTAAACTGTTTAGTTTTTAGGGTCTGTGATCCTGCTGGTCGCAGGAAGAGTTATTTTACAGCAGTCTCAGTTGACTACTCAATTTTTCTTTTCAAAATAGCAAGAGAAACCCTGTTAATCTTAATCAGCCAGTAAATTTATCTGCCTGACAAATGTCTTCACTAGAAAGATAATCATCAATGTAAAGAGCCAATCCCTTTTAACTGTCCACCCAGAGCACACCCTGAGAGGAAGCCCACCAAGGCTTGTCTGTCATTAACAATATTCTTCATCACTGGATAGCTCAACTAATAATAATTTTAAAAAATGGACTCGGAAAATAGAAGCAGAGCAGATCTTGCTCTCCCAAATCCACAAGAGTCCTCCAGGTAGGCACAGGTTATTATTATTTTTTTACTATCTGTTAAGTAAATCTAGGCTACCTACCTTCTGAACTATTTCTGTTTTTTCTATTAATTTTTATTGTTGAAAGTATTCAATAGTTCCTCCTTCCCTTCTTTCCCTCCCCCATTAACCTCTTCTAGCCTGTTCCTGTCCTCCCATCCTCCTCCCCAGGTCCTCACCACCCCATTGTCTGTGTCCAACGGTTATGCATATATGTATACAATTTCATTGTTAGTTTTTTATATGCTCAATTATTTAGTGATCCAGACAGAAATAGTCACAATGGTGGGCAGATGTCAACTGATGGACTCAGTTACGGACCTATCTGGTTTAATTAATGTATTGCTATACCTTACCAGTAGTTCTCTCTGGTTGATGGAAGGAAGGTCTTTACTCAGCTTGTAAACTGGGAATAAAAGTTTTCTAACAATAGAGGTTCACATTCTAGGTATGAGGTAGGGGAGTTTGTTCTATCAATATAGATTTCTAGCCTCGGTGTCTGATGTGTGCTAAAGGACAGATGCTTTTAAAAACCAAACTGACCCTGGGCTTCTTTCTGGATAGTCTTTGTTAACAGTAAGCTGTGGAATTCTGTCTCACTGTTTAGAGGGGAAATGTTCTTGGAGTGAAGGCCATTAGAGGTGCATAATTTAGGTTTCCTTTGATGTCCACCATGTCTAGCTAAGTAAACTTTTTACTTTAAAAAGTTTCGGGAGAGGCTGAAAACAGAACTTTGAGAATTAATGTTTGATTGTGAAATGTTAGGCATATTCCAAATCTTTAGAAGGGAGAGTATTTTCAGTTAACCTCCTCTTAGGATGAAAACAGGATTAGAAATTCAACTAACCTTTCAAAGCCATTTCTTTGCACACATGAAATTGGGTGTGCCAGTGACAAAATATAGTCACACACACTTTCACATTAAAAGGACTGAAATATGCATAAGTAAACATGTTTGATCGCTTTTATTTTCACTCGTCAGCACAGATTAATGGGAAAGAACTTGGTTTAATTCTTGGATTAATAAAAAGACTTGGCACAGTTTTCATTTCACTTTGTCTTCTCTAATCACTGATTAGATATTGATTTTGATCAGTTACTTGGATCCTTTGAACCTCAGTTTTTTATTCATTGCAATAAAAATTTTAATTGCAAGACTGTTTTGAAAAAGTAAGCAATGAAAACTCTCCTTTTTGTGAGTTCAAAACTGAACATAGAAAGATAGAAAATTTTCCTATTACTAAATTTCTGTTTAAACTTCACAGTGTGCCTAAAATTGAATTTTCAGAAGCACCTTTTCGTGATAGCACCCTACAGGAGAAGGCTGCCCCATCACCACGCCAGACATGGCTGACATTTTTGAAGAGGGAGCTGGAATTCCTAGGCGTAAGTGAGCTTTTTTCAACCTCAATTAAAATAAGGACTAGTTCTAGAAAAGAACATTAGGTTGCATCAACAGTTTTCCCAGTAGGATTCATGAGGAGTAAAGAATCCAGTAGTTGAGTTGACACCAACTGGATCCTGTTGAGTAGAAAGAAGCATTTCCTCATGAATATTTGAATGAGAATGGCAAATAGGATTTGCCAACTCTGGACAATTGCTGGTGGCTAATGTAATATCTTGCTCTGAAGGATTTATAATCTTTATCTTCTCTTAGATGGAAAGGACAGTTATTGATGTCCACCATGTCTAGCTAAGTAAATGTGATGAGGATCATATTGGCCATTCCTGCATTAGGTCATGCTTGTAAGAATTCTTAGAGTGGTCAGAGGATCCTGGAAGATAGCACATGTGGATCCTTTCTCAGAACTGCCTAAGACACCAAAGCAATTTCCCACACTTGGCCTTGGTAAGGAAATTGATACACTCTTTGGGAAATATCTTCTTATTCCATAAGAGTTATGCATTTTTCTACAGGTAACACAAATTCTGATTGGTTTCATATGTCTTTATTTTGGAACAATTGTCTACTTCGTGTTCAAGATTTCAGAATTTGAGAAAGATTTTTTTTCATCATTTAAAACAGGCTACCCATTGTGGGGAGCAGTAATTGTGAGTATATTCTTATAATTTTCTCTGAAATAACACTGCACATAGCTTTTTTCTTATCCAGATTAGATCTACCTACTTGTTTATCTCTAGTATTCAGATTATATATAATAATACATTTAAATTATGTATTTATATATATAAAAATATATTTGCAGTTTATAAAACTCCATGGGTTAAACATTTCAGGTTTAACATACTTTTATTACATGAGAAACCTGAGATTAATAAAAGTTAAATGAATTGTTCAAGGGAAATTTAGCCAATAAAAATAGAACCTAAATGTTTGGAATCCAATTCCAGAGAAATGTCCCCAAAACTCTCATCAGTAAAGTTATTTTAATAAAGGAAAGGAAAAGAGACTTTTTAGGTGAGGAGCACAAGGTCAAAGGCATATGATGAACTTCTCTCATGCCCTAGAAAAATTTTCAGGTGCTTTCTCATTAAATCTCTTTTAATCATTTTACTAATTAGAAACTAGATGACTGAATGAGATTACAAACATACCTAGCTTTATTGAGTTATAATTGACATACAATAAATTTCACATATATAAGGTGTATACTTGATAATTTTCACACATGCACACATACATATGAAAACATTATCACATCAATATAATGAACCTATCCGTTACCTCCAAAAATTTCCTTGTGTTCCTTAGTAGTCCCTCCTTTCTTATATTTTCTGTCTTCCCGTCCTCAAGCACTCATTCACTCATTCATCTGTTTTCTGTCACTATAGATTAGTTTGCATTTTCTAGAGTTTTATATAAATGGAATATCATACAGCATGTTCTCTTTACTGTTTGGCTTCCTCCACTCAGCATTAATTATTTTCAATTAATTCATGTCATTTTTTGTATCTACACCTCATTCACAGGATATATTTTAAGTCTATAAACATCACATTGGGGGCAGAGCAGGGGAAGGAGAGAGATCAACCAAAGGACTTGTTTGTATGCATGCATATAAGCATAACCAATGAACGAGGACACAAGAGGGGTGAGGGCATGAGCAGAGAGGGGGGAGAAATAGGGGGAATAATGACAGAGATGTCATTCCTTAATCAATAAAAAAAAATCACATTGGTTTGGCACTCAGTTAAAGACTTAGGACTAGATCAGAACTCTCCTTGAACTTTGGCCATATTTTATTTGAAACTTCTCTCTATTATCCTTTCATTCCAAACACTTAGCTTATTAGTATCTCTCAATGCATCAAATAATCTGAATATTTGAGATTGTTTTGAACTTATGCTATTCATTAATATTTTCATCATGTACATTCTCATAATTACTAAGTGTCTAGATGATATATGCCAGTCTCTAGAGATATGCCACAAGTACATTTCTTGCTCAAAAGCGCTGACAGTCTAACATAAAAGCTTCTCACACAAATAAATAGTTACAAAGTTATGGCATAATCATGGAGCAGGTATTGCTGGACCTTGCTACTCCTAAGGTGACCCATAACCTATCAATCTTAGCATCAGTCAGGCAGCCTGCTGGAACAAAGGAAGAACCTCAAGCCCCTTCCAGGACCTACTAAATAACAATCTGCATTTTAACAAGACCCTCACTTGATTCATGAGTACATTAACTTTGTGAAGTACTCCTTAGGAAATAAGAATAAGAAAATAGTGAACTCATGGCAAACCTGAAAGGTTAACTTTGTAGAATATCCACAACTTGAGCCTGTATTCGGAGGAGGGAGTGAAAGGGACATAGAGAAGGGCGTAGACTCACTATGTTTCCTCTCTTCCTTTGGACAGTTTGCTATTTCAGGATTTTTGTCAATTATCTCTGAAAAGAAAAATGCAGCATATCTGGTGAGTTGCAATTCCTTGAGAAGGTAAGAAAAGTTGAATTTTAGGAGTCTTGAGGGAGACATGCCATCATCTCTGATGGTATGAGATAATGTGGATATATGACTCCCCCGCCCCTACTCTATTTTGTTTTGGTTATAATCATTAAAATATCAGTTGTGTCATTTTAAACTACAAAGTGTTTAAAATGTTGCCACTTATTTAGAAAATATTCTTATACCACCCTCATCCTTGTAAGTATAGACATATGATCATATATTGAATAAATGATTTGTTTCCAATTAAGGAGACTATTTGAGGAGAGACTCTATGTGCCCATGTGGGTCTTCCTGAATGGGGTCCTAGCAAGAAAGTTATAAATCCTTATTAAACAAATACATTTTCAAGAGCTCCTCTTTTAATCTCTATTTTGTATACATGCACAATTTACTGTATACATCCAACCCTGAAATGTTGATGCACTGGCAGGTGCAGGAACAGGTCTAAGTGTTTTTATTATCAGGTGCAAGGAAGCCTGGGAGCAAATTTGGTCAGCGTCATAGCTGCAGGAACAGGAATCTTTATCCTGGTCACCAACCTAAAGGGCAGTTTGGCTTATATCGATGTTTGCCAGCAAGCTTATGAGGATGACTTCTGTTTAGCGGCCTTTTTTTCCACAGTATGTATTTCTTGATCCTAATCTAAGTAAAGAAGCCCCCGTTGCCTTTTTTCATAAACACAAACCTTTTTTGCAACCTTTGTCAGATAATGTGGTATTCTTTAGGTTCGTGCACAGAGATACTGATCACCTCTTCCCCTCATCCCCAGCTCAATTCTGTAAGGTTGGAGTCAACTGCCTCAATTAACCATCTCCTGGTTTTCGTGTGTGTGTGTGTGTGTGTGTGTGTGTGTGTGTGTGTACAATTCTATAGAGACTGATCATGTGGGTGTGATGAAAACAGGAGCTGCTATAGGGGAATGTACCTTGGGGACACCTAACTTGTGGCCCATTCTGTCTTTGGTTATTGTTCAACAGGAACTTGTGGCGATGATCCTGTTTCTTACCATTCTGGGGTTTGGGGCTGCTGTGTTACTCATAGCCTACAGAATTGGAGAACTACTCAAAGAAAACCAGGTAGGCAGAGACTTGATACTAAATCCTGCATGACAGGCTAAAGAATTTGAGCTTATTCCCTAAAACATATATAGCCTAAATTTCCTGAAACATTTCTTCCAATAAAGTATTTCTTGGCCTAGCTGACATCGCTCAGTGGTTGAGTGTTGACCTATAAATCAGGAGGTCATGATTTGATTCCAAGTTAGGTATATGTCCTGGTTGCAGTCTTGATCCTCAGTGTGGGGCCTGCAGTGTGCAGGAGGCAGCCAATTAATGCTTCTCTCTCATCATTGATCTCTCTCTTTCTCTCTCTCTCTCTCTCTCTCTCTCTCTCTCTCTCTCTCTCTCTCTCTCTCTCTCCCTTCCTTTCTGAAATAAAAAAATATATATATGAAAGAAAAAAAAGTATTTTTCCAAGTTTCAATGTTTTTGTTTCCAAATCTCATGTTTCAAATTACATTTCCCACTCCTAAGTAGCATAAATATCAGTATAGCTCTGTGACTGAGGGTTAGGAAAATTGAACCTTCATCGTTTTAGGAAATGCAGATGCTTTGAAATGTATTAGGCATGAAATGAATAAGCAGGTAGCATGTGATGGAACCACTCACATGACTGGGTTTATTTTCTGTCCCAGAAGAGCTCCCTTATATTTGTTCCCCTCCTGTCTTTTTTCTTTGGCTTTCCCCTTACCACTTGCTCTGAAACCTCAGTGTTTTTTCCTCCTTAATTTACATCTATCACCTGCATTTCCTCCTGTCTTACTCACCCATTGAACCTTGGGTGTAAGAAAAAGAATTGCTAATACTTGATGCATATACACTTACTTAGATCTTCCAGATGAAACATACTATCTCCACTTGCCCATCTGTCCACTTGCCTGAAGCATTCAAGAGTGGCTGCCTTGTTTTGATTACTTTTCTCCAAAGACAATTAAGACAGTAGATATACCAAAGTTCAGACACACTCACCAACTTGTCATTGACTGACATAATTTATTTTGGGCCCATCAATCTGGCTTAATTTGTTGGAGATGGAGGGAATATAATGGGAGAGTGTGGGAAAGAATATAAGATCCAGAAAGAAAAAAGATGATAAACATCTCTTAAACAAGTCTTCTTGGTGATTGATACTGAATACTTTTTTCCTCACCAGATTCCAGAAGATCGTCTCTATGAAGAATTAAACATATATTCACCAATTTACAGTGAATTGGAAGACAGAGTGGAGACATCTCCCACTGACACATAAGAAGCACATTCAGAACATTCTCATCCACAGCAAAGGATATAGAAAACTAAGATCTTTGTTTATGGGGATACTGGCAAAATTTCAGATCTCTCTATGATCCACCAATTTTACATTGTGATTTATTTTCCACATGGTAATATTCTGTTTCTGTATATCTAAGAATCCCTCTTGCCCAATTTGTCAATATGATTGATTCATATTTTTCTTGTTTTCTTCACACCCATCTCTTCTGGGAAATCAACATGCAATAAGCATTTACCGTGTGCCTTTAACTGTGCAAATAGGAAAAACAAGAGGAAGGCTGGTCGAGAGTTGAGTAAAACTTTAACAGTTTTATGTAGTTTTCAATCTTTTTTAGAATTCACAGAAGTGATGGGCATAATAGACGTTTCCCACTAGATTATAAGCACCATTCAGCAAACATATCCTAAGAACTAATTAAGTGTTGTAACTTTTCCACACTTGACTCCTTTACATTGTGTATCCCAGTATTTCACTCATAGTGGGTGCTGAGTGTATATTAATGGAGTCGATGGGTGTAGATGCAAGGAAAATATCCCACCAGGCCAGGCCAGAGGTAGAGTGGATAAGGAGAAAGAAATGATTCTGAAGTGAATTTGGAGGCAATAAGAAGACCAAATTGGTAGATATTAAGCATAGACTTAGGAAGATAGTCAGAAATTTGAATAGAAATTCTGAAATCATGTGTTAAATATTTTGGTGGGTTCATAGCAGGTTAACAATGAATACTTCCTGCTTATTATATGGAGAAGCATATTACAATATATTAGAAAGATCATTGAGCTTATGAAACGAAGGGAGTTTATATTGGAATCCCAGGATGACTGCTTACTAGTTGAATGAGTTGCAGCAAATAATTTACTCAATATGGGTTTCCTTATCTGTAAAATTAAGATTAGGCATAATTTACCAGCTAGCACTAAATGTCTATTGTGAGAATACACACATACACATATGTGCTCTATCTTTAAAATGTCCTAAATATATTATTATATAAATTACCTAATTTATATATACCTCTAAGCAATCTCCAAATCTTAATAATCTCCAAAGATTTAAAACTTAAGTCTATTTTATTGTAACTTCAAAAGCCTCACTCTCTGATCCCACTTCAACTTTCTCTTTAATGTGGTTTGTGCTTGACCACTTTACATCAGCACCCTGGCTTGAAATGTTCTGCCCTCTCTTCTGTACTTACTTAAATTCCTCCCTTCTTTAATGCCTATCATAAGTCCCACCTTATTCTTTAAGAATTTCAGCCAAGATTGCTCCTCTCTCAAGATGATGACTTTTTCAAACCACACACACATACACACACACACACACACACACACACACAACTTATACTATATATAATTTTCTAAATGCAAATATTTTACATTCATAATATATTTCCCCCTAAGATTCAAAGTCTCCTAAAGATCAGTATATTGTCTGAAATATCAGCGCATTCATGGACAAAATACTCACTAATATTTGCAGTGGGCATGGGGAGTTTAATGAAGTTAGTATCTGATGAGAGAATAGGACATACCTAAGGATTCAAAATGAAAGATGAGTAAATTAATGAAGATCTTAGCTAAAATGAAATAAGTGGGTATGGAGAGAAATGGTCATATCTAAAACATGGAGAGAAATACTAATCGGTCTTATTAACAAGTTGAATAAAAGGATAAATTTAGACAAGCAATTGGGTAAGTAATACGTTAAGTGTTTGATTCTATATAAGATCAAAGGAGAATACATGGGAATGTTGAAAGAAATGACAAGAAGTCATTTATGTATTAATGGGAAGGAATCCAGTTAGGCCTAGATTAAGATTCATTTTAGATGGTCATTTTTTGGGGGGCCAAAAGAAATGCATCTAGAGAAGGTCTGACAGCACCCACCACAGAGCACTGGTAAAAAGGAAATGTGGTGATGGAGATTCTTGTCATTATAAGAGAGCTCATTATTTGGTGAAGCAAATTAACACTCAAAGAGAATTATTTTGAAATAAAAGCAAAGCCAACTTAACCTTCATATGCCTATAACCAGGGGGAAAGTAGAAGGAAAAAAAAATTTAGGATGGAAAATATAAGAGTTGTTCAGAAAAGTGCATTGTGAAATAGTAGCTAGTAGATAGCCCAAAATGGAGAGTGATTAGACAAAGAAGGAAATGGTAAATGATCAGAGATGATATCTGCAAGTTTGGCAAGAGGAAAGTCTTCAGAAATAAATCAACTCCAGGTAAGGAAGGGAGAGGGGGCAGAGAAAATACCAGTGGCAAAGGTTCAGAGAAATTCAAAACAGGGAATGATGATAAGGAAATGAATAAAACATTTGCAGAGGCATTTAAAGGGAATTGGGATATATGTGGTGTGAGAAATAATAGAGTGGATTGTGAATACAGAGTAGTGAAGAAAAATTAGCAAAATAATGTTGTTGCCATTGATGTTTTTATTATTAAGAGAAGGAAAAAGGAATTTAAATCTTTAGCCTAAGTAGAAGTGTCTTATGGAGGTACTGAAAAATCAGTGTGGAGGTCACAATTCATTAATAAAATAATTAATTAAATCTTATGTGTTTAGGATACCAAAATTAAAAAGGGACAATTAGAAGTGAATTTCTCAGACTATGAAAGTGATCACATAACCACACAATGAGCAATTGACTTGGTATGACTAATATTAGGACCTAAGGTTTTCTATTTCCATTTTCCCAAAGTAATTTTTCCCCTCAAAATTTGACAGCAGAATAAAAATATATCCTTTCACTGTGTAGCTTGCTAAGCTGTATCTTCATAGGTATTGATCACATCACATCACTTATGGCATATGTATTCATATCAAAATACTAAGCCTGGTCTACCAGGACCTATTGAAATGGATCCAGTCTATCGTTACACTTGTATAAGATTTTATAATGCTCTTTCTCCCACTTGATTAATATTTTAACCACATTGTTGGTTATACAATGTGGTTAAAATATTATATATTTTGTATGTACACAACATATTTTTTTGTCTCAAGACCATTTTGATAGTTGTCCTGTCCCTTCCTGTCTTTTATCACATGCTCACTTCAAGTACACAATGAGTATACAACTGCATTGCCTTCTTTTAAATATTTCAATGTAAAGGTCACCTTCTCTGTGAAGATTGTCTACTGCATACCTATTCATACAGCCTTGATTTCTTGCCTCATGACCATCTTACTCCACAATGCAGTGTGTTGTCATTTATTATTTGTATACTTATGATCTCCTTGATGTATCAATTAACAGTATTTCTACAATAAACTGGAATCATTTAACTTGATTTCTTGTCTCTCTGTGTATGTACTGTATATGAGGGTGAGGGGCTGATCAAGAATAATAGAACTGAAACATCAATTCAGTAATACAAAATACCAAGAACAGTCTGTAGAGTATTCATTTTTAACAGTGCTTTATCAAATGGGACAATCTATTAATAAACTCAGTTTGGAACAAAAGAACTCACCTGAGCTTTCTGTTTCCATGTCCTGTGCTTGTGGGAATCGAAATTACTAAGTTTGTGTCTGGGGTAGCAACAGCAATCAGAGCTCTTTGATATACAACCTAGCAAGACAACTGGGGACAATAACATTTGTTATTGATTTATTGAAGAACTGTTTCTGAAAATTATCTTAGAAGTAAAATTTTCCAAATAATTTCCATTCTATGAAGTATGGCTCTACCTACAAAAATTACCTGCATTGGTGCTCCTATGACATATTGGCAAATGTTTGCAATGGATTCCGTTACTTTCACAAAAGCATTGGGAGGTACACAGAGGCCAAAGAATTAATATGGCAGATGAGCTCATCCAGCAGAGTCAGATCTGTCTCCTTAGAGACTAGTCGCTTCTCAGGCAAGACTACTTCTTTGGCTGTGACATGGTCCTTTGAGAGAATATGCCAATAAATATGGCCCCTATTTTAAAGATCAGGATTATAAGAATCCTGTGTTGCCAAACTCAAGACCTGGTGTACCACCTCCTGTGTTTCTGACGGTTTCTTGAGAAACAGCTTCACTATGGCAGTGAGCAGAATGAGCTGCTCCTGGGTGTTCTCACCAGGAACACCTTCCGGGAAGCTCTCTAGGAACTTATCAACATTGTCAATTCCTCCAGCATATTCTCCCACAATCCAAATCATCTGGCTTGAGCACCTGGCTCATCCAGAGAATCTAAGTTCTCATACAGAGTAGAGTGGCCATGATGCTTTAACACTTGCTGGGGGTACTTGTGGAGATGTCCCTGATGACAACAGTGAGTCACCTCTTGGTCTTGGATCACATAATTTACTTTGGTCTGGATGAGATCAAGCAGTGTGTTTACATGACATTCCGAATATTGCTCCGCTTTGATGGTGAAACTGGACACTAAACTTGTCCAAAGCTGCCTGACATTACTGAGTCAAAAAGCAGAGACAAGGTTGAATTATCTATGACACTTTATTTCATATTGGTGGCAATATGGAGTGAAAAGCAGACTTCATGCCCTGGAAAAATCCTGCTCCCCCTTCTTCTGCCAGCTGGCTGACTATATTAGGGTGAGGGAAAATAACCATGTGCAGCTGGGAGTGTAACAAGGGAAGGGGAGTGTAGGATCTGCAGTCTGGCCTCCAGGAATTCAAAGTCTAATAACAAGGTGGCTAATCTTCTATGATGTTAAAAACAGCTTAGCCTGTTCCTGGAACCGGAGAATCGTTGGTATTCCTGAGGCAAACTCCCAGATGAGTCTGGGTCTAGGCACAGCAACTAAGTCAAAGCATCTCCTGTCTTTGGTCTGCTTTAAAAATATATTTCTTTTCTGAGTAATGGACCCATCCGGCTTGTTCAAGGTGACTTTATTTTTTACAGTCATGTTTTTCTTCTTGCAATACATCCTCCAGTTTCCCAGGGTCTATAAGAAAACCTCTTATCTATAGTTAGTAAGGTGAATAATCACTGAACAACTGTGGTCCTATTCTTATTAC